AAGAAAAGTTTTGCGCCTAAACATGCCTTTTCTTTGATATTAAAAATATTTTTATTTAAATTTTATTTGCCAATTTTATTGACCAATTTTATTTTATCACTTAAATATCCATCGGTTAGTTATTCATTAAAAAAATTATTATTCGTTTCCTTGATTTTATATTTGACGTATTTTCTTAACAAAGTGTTTGCTATTAGTAAACTATTATAAATTACTATTAAAAAATAAACACAAAACTATCCATGAACCACGTTTTTGTTTAAACAGAATTCCAAAATAGCAAATGCCGCAGATGTTGTTTGTTAAATAATTGAAAAAAAAAACCCTCTACAGATGTTGTCTGTTAAATAATTGGAAGAAAAAATACAACCTAATCGTCTGCAGTTTAATTCACAACAGTGCTTAATACCAAACTTTTGAGAAAAATTCATTTTACAAGTATCACTAATTGTAATTTTAGAACAATTTTTAGCATCGGGGGGCTAAAATTGCTCCTTGCTCTCGTTTTTTAAATTTCTGGATCTTAAGCTTTTTAAGAGTCATAAAGGAGTCCTGACTCATAAAAGAGTCATAACACAAACAGACACTACACAACCTTTTCTTTTTATTATTACAGCTTTTTCTGAATACTGCGAAATTATTCCACCAAGTTTAAGTGATTAAAATAGCTATTAATTTCATTGTTCCATAAATGTTGCGGATGTTTAAGTTTCTGGGATTTAGTAATTGATACTTGTTAAAAATTCTCGGATATAATAATTGATGCTTGTTTTGCGAATTATTTCACTGGCCTAATGAATTTACAAGCTACATAAAAAACCCAGTTTACTCTCAATTTTAATCGCGGTATTTCTTTGGAAAAGACAATGGCCATTAAATAATAATATTTCGATTCATTTCGTAGAATATACTTTAATTAGACAAACTGGAGAGTAAAATATTTTTTTTTCACTTAATCCGTTCGTTAAATATGATTGAGGAGTTCACTTAGTTCAACTGATTCTTCGTAATTGAACAAAGGAGGAGAAATATGAATTCACAAGATAATAACTTCATATTCACGATAAAATATATGCTTGCAGTTCAGAAAATAGGTTCTTAAAAAAATTCAAACATTATGATGAATGCATTGCAACATTAATAATGATGATTGCATTGAAGATTATGATGGATTCATGAAATTCAAACATTGTGATCATCCGTCTATTCATGATTTCTTACGTTTTTTCTAAACGATTTAGTAACATTTTTCTATTAATTTTACTTCATAGTACATGGTATATTATTTCATTCTTATCTCTACTGATTACAAAACGTAATTAAAAATCATTGGCGCTTATAATAGTTAGATTTTTTACTTTATCTTAAGCGAAATAGTACCATTTATCCATTAATAGTTTTTTTAGTGCATAGCTTGTTTTTTTCATTCCAGTTTGTATATATTACCAAAATTAATTAAGCCTCATTAGTGTCAATAATAATCCGACGACTTTTCACGGTTTCCCTAAGAGAATCTCCATTAATTTTGCCTTTTGAAGCACATATTTCCCTTAAAAGAATAAGTTCTTTTTCGAACATAGCTTTACCTAATAACAAATTAAATCAAGCGTAATTACGTTTCTCCTATACTAATTAGTACTATTTCTCCATTAATTTTTCTTTTCAATGGATAAATTATTATTTTTTTAATTTCAATTGCTGTTGATTTAAATTATTTAGTTTTATAGATTCACGTTTTAAAAGCATAACTGTAAGCAAAATGAACACGCGGTTTCAAATAATTTTAGGAATACTAATTTGGTGACGTAAACTGTCAATGCTATCATGCTTATGCTGACTATTGAGTTTATCTGACATAACGGATAAAAAAAATTAAATATTAAAGAACGTGCAAAAAAAAAACTCTTTTTTTCAACGAGAGCTATAAGCTAACAAATATCATTGATGTAATCTTTAAAATATTTATCGCTTGCAGTCTCCTTTTTATCTATGGCGAGTTCTAAGCCAATGAAAAAAACTTCCATATAATCTGCTTTACCAAACAAATTGAAAATTTCGTTATAATTTTAAGATTGGGGGCTGAATTTGTCCTTTTTACTTTTGCTTAAGTCCATTCCTTGAGCGAATTTCGTATTGTGTATTTTTCACTTCTTAATGGTATTGCAGACGCTGTTTTAATCAACAAAACCAGACAAAGAAACATACTTTCCTTGACTAAACATTTCTTTGTGCTCTTTTTTTTTCTTCCCAATTTTTTTTATTTAATGGTCTTAGACTTTCACTCTCAAAATATCGAGCCTAAGTTATACGTACAACCAGGAAATTATTGAAAATTCTACTTCATGTTAATTTTCATAAAAAGGTACTTCATGTTAATTTTGCTCTTATGCAAAGATCTCTTTGCATGTCTCTCCCTTTTGAATGGTATTGTAGTCGATGTTTTTTAAGGTTCTGAACCAAAGAAACGGACTTTCTTTGACTAAAACATCGCTTCTTACGCTCCGCATAATTTTATGAAAAAAAAACCTTTTTACCTTAAGTATAGAGTGTAGCTGTCTATAGTCAGGGAAAATTCGTTTTAAATTTTTAGGCTCTTAATGTTAATTTTACTTCTTGTCTATTTCGTTCTTATACAAAGTTCGCATTGTGCGCTTCTCCATTTTTTAATGGTATTGTAGACGCTGTTTTAAGGTACTGAACCAGACCAAGAAACGGACTATCTTTGACTAAGCATCGCTTTTTATGAACTTTTTATTTATATTTTTTTATTTAACAAATTTTTTTTTACCCTTAAAATATTAAGCGTAGTTACTTATTGTCAGGAATTTTTTTTCTTCTAATTTATAGGCCCTTCATGTTAATTTTGCTTATTGTCTATTTCACTCTCATACGAAGTTCGCATTGCCTCTCCCTTTTTAATGGTATTGTAGATGGTGTTTTAAGGTACTGAACCCGCAAAAGAAAGGGACTTTTTTTTTTTTGGCTAAGCATCGCTTCTTACGAACTTTTTATTTATTTCATTTAATTGAATGGTTTTAAATTTTTTACCCTTAAAACATGGAGCGCAGAGTCAAGAAAATTTGGTTTTAAATTTATAGGTCCTGCACGTTAATTTTGCTTTTTGGCTACTTGCAAAAGTTGCTACAAAAAGAGGTATAAGTTTTAAACAAACGACGCAGATCTACGAGTACATTGGGGGTATTTTATTTAAGGCATTTGCATCGTTATATAATGATCGAAAAAACTTTGAATCGTATTTTGAACCAAAATTTGAAATAAATCAGCCAAACTCTTTCGGACGCTAGAAATTTTAAAAAATCTTATTTTTAAATGTTTCTTTCTTTCTTTTTTAGAAAAAAAACTATTTCTCTCATTAGATTACATAGTTAAAAGGATGTAATAAATTTATAAGTTACTATTTAAATAACGAATAAAAATTATTTTTTTTGCATTTATATTTGAATTAACAAGTTTAATACATAAAACGTAAAAACAACATTCAAGGGCTGAAACGTAAGCTAGCTATTTTGACTTAAGTGGCTAATGGAACCGTATTTTTCAGATAGAGATTTAAACTTCGGATTTTTAGACCACAAGTTTTGTGAATGAAAAAGCCGAATCCATCAAGATTATATTTATTTATTCAGAAGGGTAAAAAATAGCGTCATGAAAACTTCACAATTTGTTGCCCCTTATTTTTTATCACTCTTTTTATCGTAAATTATGCAAGAAAAATTTCGTTCTAAACGAAGAACAACGCATGTTTATAAGTTATATTTACGTTTTCTCTCACCCCTTTTGAGTCATAAAAAAAAAGCTGCCTATGTCTATATCCGGTCATGAACATCCGGAAATCCTGTTTTTCCTCAAATTTTATGTGACTTTTTTTATGTATTCTATCACTTTTACTTCTGATCAAGGTAAATAATTTTATGACAAAAAACAAATATACTAAAAACAGTATCTTCTGTTTCCGATCATTTACTGTCAATCTCTGATCGTGATGCATTAACGTGTATAGTCATGTATATACTCTCTCACCCAGAGGTTATTTTGATCACTTTTTTAGTAGGCTTAGCTTAGTCTGGGCACTTGAGAGTAAAATAGCATTATTATCTAATATGTCTATTGTTTATCTTCCCTTAAGGTTGTTTTTCGTAGGCTTTTTCGTCACATGAAATCACGCCTTTTAGTGTATAATATGCTGTTGCGATTTCGAAACAATCGTTAAGTTGCATTTCTTTCATCTTTTATTAATTTAGCCATTTCCCTGTGTGATAATGATGTAAAGGATGGAAAATTTAAGAAAAAAATGTAGTTTGTTTTCAACTTTTTGAAGTTTTAAAAGAAGAACTAAAATTTCTGTAAATTATAAATTGTATAAGCATTCTAAATGCTAGTTTGTGACTCTCATTCGATTGACAATTCAGTGATTTCAGTAATAGAGAGTCGCGCCTTTTTGCGTATAACATGTTGTTGAGATTTCGTAACAATCGTTCATAAGTGTTAAGTTAAATTTCATCCATCTTTAATTAATGTTAGCCATTAAGTTGTTAAATGCTAGTTTGCGGTGTGCATGCAATTCAGTAATAGAGAGTTACTTCATCGCATTGCATCGTTTGAGATAGTAAAAACTGGTTGAGAATAATTTGATGGTCACAAAAACTTTTTCATTGACAATTTGTTTATATTAATTAAAATTTTCACCCTTTTGCAAGAAAGTGTAAAATCAGAATTCCATGTGGAGTTTAAATTATTCAAACTATGATTTTTTTTTTTTTTGTATTTTTCTTGGTGGAAGAGCTTCAAAAAACCCGTTTGACAAAATAGTATGATAATAATAATAATTATTGTTTTTTAATTTTTAATTAAGATAATCTTCAGTTTAAGAAAAAAATTCAAACTGTCTGGTAAAAATTTATTTCCCCTTTATATTTGATTATTTACTTTCATGAAATATGTAAGAGCAGTCAATTTAAAACTTTTGTGCTGTATTTCAGGTGGTGGAGTACTTTAGCAGATCACAATGAATACTTCAGCTGTTGATAAACTGCACCAGTACACCGTCGTTATGCCAGAAATATCCGATCCACCCTGTGAATATCCACGTGGCATGCACAGCTTGTTGATGCTATTGCAACTGGCAAGTTTTACTTCTTCTACATAATATTTCCTAACTTAAAAATTGACAAATACATATCACGGTGAGCATTTGTTGCTATAGTTAAACTATGTACTGTATAGGACAAGGCGAAACTGCGAGTTATGCAATTTTGGCGGATCAATATTCATGAATCTTGGCTCAATAAGGGTTTAAAGGGCCGCTGTTTTTTCCGATATTGGTATTATAAGAGAATTGTCCGATTCCAGCCGCTATACAATCAATATAAGCCCTATATAGAACTGACAGATTTACCCGATATTTTATATTCATTTTTCAGCCAATGTAGGCTCTATATTGTCCTCATAAAGGCAGATATTGGTCCTATATAGGACCAATATTAAAAGATCTAGACATCCCAATATTGGTCCTCGGTGCATGTTCATATAAGACCCATATTAAGCCAATTTTGAGCCAAACTAGAGTCAAGATAAAATTGTTGCTAAGGATCAATGCTGATCAAAATCTACAAGTCGAAAAAAAATTCTCCCAAATTTTCTGTAAACTGTTTCGCTAATTAACATCCCAGCCTTTTTTGATGACCTATTTCTAAATCCATCCTCGTTCGCAAATGTCCTCGTTTACTTCATAGGAAGGCGATTCAGAATGGAAATCATTTTTTTAAAAACCAATATTAGGACGGATTTCCCTATCTACTTTAAATTTAATAAAAAAGCTTTTAATAGCAACTAAAAGGATGTTTGTTGTCTCCAGTAACGTTTCTATGCAGATCTACATTGAGTGATTTTATTCAATATTTGTTCATATTATTCTGTTTTTTCAAATGACAATCGAAGAAGACTGGCTCTTCAAATGCAACTAACGTGGGAAAATACCTCGGGGAGGTATACCAGAAAACCAACCTACAAGGAAAACATCATACCCAGAACTAGCAGAACCGCTTACTAAAATTTTATTTTTATTTTATAACCGTCGTTGAACAGCGGACCCAATTTTGGGTTTACGTCTATTATTGTTCAACTCCGTAGACTTGTACTTTTGAACCAATCCAGGAGACAAGGAAACTCCTGGATCAGTACCTCCAGACGTATGATTTGTTATGGGAACATAGAGGACTTTGATACTCGACAGATTTAACGAGCATAAGTCATCATTTACTACACAGGGAGTCTTTGATTCGATCGAATCCACGATTCGATCGAATCAATTCGACCTCTTGGACAAGGGCCCAGTGCCATACCAACCAGGCTATCCCGACAGTTCGCTCTTGAAAAAAGCGAAAACGGAGTTAAATATATAAGAACTCCTTTGCCTTTCAATAGCTTAAGGCCAGACCAAGCTTCAATCCACCTAAAGCACCGAAACAATACGTAAAACTGGACATTGAAAATACATAATGCTTTAACTTGGACAAATTTTCGATACAACAATTTATTTAAAGAGCTTTTTGATTGTGAAAAAAAAAGAAAGGAAAGGTTCGATTCTTGGAATTATTTTGCCCATTTTAAAATCTTTTATTTGGCCATTTTCAAGCCTCCAATGACATTAGGAAAATTCATTGAAGCGTTATGAGGCTTAAAATTTATTTTGTTTTCTCCTTAAAGAGAAATTGTTAAGCTATGAAATTCAAACTGCTCAACCATAACGAAGTTGTGAAAAACAGCTATGGGAATTTTTTTTAAACATCTGTTGCCGTTAGTATCGTTGCCTCACTTATTGCTTTTTTTTTCTCTCTTCGATTGGATAGTAATCTTTGCAATGAGCATTGTAATAAATCTACCAAAAATCAAGTGAAGGCCATTATGGACTGTTTTTAACGTAAAAAAAGGGTAAACATTGCCTAGAAGTTACTCATATTTTGAAGGATATCATTATTATGTCACAAAAGTGAAAGTTTATGGCAATGTAATATGCGTTTATGATCTGCATCTGTGGTTTGTATAGGAAAAAAATTTAGTTTGAAAAACAAATCATAATTGATGCTTGTAAGAAGTACAAGTGTTGAAAGTGAATAAGCATCTTAAGCAATATAGCATTGAACTTATTTTGCATAAAATACAAAATCTTAAAAAAAAGTCATTAAAAAATTATAATTACGAATTCATTCTCAGACATAATCATGCAGGCCATGAACTGAATTCCAAAAATTAAAAAAAGTGTGTTTCGTTTTGATCATGTGAGGTTAATGTTAAAGTATGTTAAATAGTTATATCCGGTGGATGCAATATGAACTTAAGCAGATACTAGATCATAGGTTGGGCGTTTTAGTGTGGTTTTGAATTGACCATGCACACTGAAAATATGAAACTCGCAACCTTGTAATGTCAAATTTAGTTCATTCAATTCACAAAATATGTTAACTAAGTATACAGACTTTTATTGCCAAACAATATCAAATTACTACACAAGGGAACAATTAAATACATGATCGATAATAAATAAGATAATCTTTTCAAATTCATTTTATGGTCTTAATTATATCTATGCAGATTGATTATTTCATTTTTTTTTTTTTTATCCATTATTGTCATTACAAAAGTATTTTTCCAAACCGTCGGCAGAAAAACAATGCTGCAGGAATCTATATCGGTATACACTTTGAATTTCACTTTTGATAATATTAGAAAAAATGTTGCTTAGACTTTCCGACGGCAAATTTAACGTCTAACGTAACGATAATATTTTCGTTAACTGTCGGCTGATAATGTGTTAGAGGCATCTAGACGAAGAAGACTTTTGACAACGCTAAGAAAGAATGTTGCTGAATATACGATGTTGCTAATGTTTTCGATGGCTAATTTAACATCTAACGTAACGATAATATTTCCGTAAACTATCAGGAACAATAATTTTAAGACGTTTTGATGGCTAATTTAACGTCGAGCGTAACGATTTTCGATAATGCCTTAACAGGCTTCTTAGATTTTAGAATAAAATTTTAATTTCAATTTTCTCGATGTCTATTTATTTTTTACCAGCTTTTGATGATAGTCAATCATTCGGCCGTAGTAATCAACGCTCTCTGCTCTCCTTCGGTAGCAGTTTTATTAGATTTGGCAACCTTAATCTTATAAAACGACGCTCTCTTGTTCGACCATTCAAGAAAGTCAGAAAATAGTCTTATTTTCGACCATTTTTGTAAGGTCGAACTTTCGCGTCATTCATTAGACATTCAACATTTAAAAGAATGAAATTATGCTATATGTAACTCGGAATACTTTATTTAATGCAATACATTTTCCTGTTTTCAACATTCGTTTTTATTATTGTTTTAAATGATGGAAACCAGACGATTGACGGTCTTACGTGCTTCGATACATACTGCTAAATCGAGTAATTATCCAACAAAGATTTCTTTAGAAAAATTAATTAAAAAATAATTAAAAGTATATTTTTATCGAGTTAGATAATTAAAAATATATTAATAGTTTTTTTTTATATATATAAAACTTTCAGTAGACACACCTAAAAGTAAATTATGTCATCCACAATAAATATTATTATGTAGTTTAAAATTTTGAACAACGTGATTTTTATAAGCAAGACAAAGCTAAAAAAAACTGAACTTGAATTAGATGCAGTCAATATTCTATTTTACATTTTTCCCAACAGAAAAAACTTACAAAGGAAACATATATTCATAACCAATTCTGACGCATACTGAGAGAGAAATTAAATTATAAAATATACCATATTTTTTATGTACATAATTTCATTCTTACATTGTTTGCTTGGGATTTTTTATGGTTGTATAGTTGACGTTCTCTTGCTCTATTGTTATTAATAAAAAAACTTATTGCTAATCTGTGCGTTTGCATTCTATTATTCATTCTCGAATTTATAAAGCGACAATATTTATGACTCTGTTATTGTATATATCGATTGTATTACACCTATTTAGATTTTAAAGAAAGTATTACACGGTTTACTCACAACGTTATAGGTAATTGATGTCATTACAATATTGTTTATTATATAAAAAAATCTGTTTCTTTATTTTCTTTTCGTGCTATGTCTTTTTATTAGTGCTTAACTGTCTTTTAACTTAAAAATGAAAGAAGAAATCTTTGTTTACTATTCAGTTAGTCATTTTTTTCAACAAATCCAATTAATTAAACAAAGTAATTTTTGTTCTATTCCAAAAGCTTTATAGCCACGTTATTATGTAAATGTTTGTGATAATTTTGAATTAACTCTATTCAGCATTTTTTACTGATAAGAAAAAGTGACAGTTATAGTTATTTACTTTTCTCCATCATCATCACGTAACTTGTAAATGATGCATCTGATATTTGTTATTTAGAAAAACTGAAAATTTAGAAAGTTTTAGGATATTTAGAATTTTGGAAAACTGAAAATTTATATTCATTTATTTTTCTCCATCGTTATCTTGCAAAATATCGATGACGTTTCTGATATTCAGAATATTTAGGATCGAGAAAAATTTAACAATTATGGAGATTTAAGATATTCAGAATCTTAGAAAAACTGAACATTTATAGTTATTTATTTTTTCCCATCATTATCATGTACGAGTAAATTGTAAATGTCGCTTCTGATATTTAGAATTTAGAAAAACTGACAATGTATACTTATTTATTTTTCTTCATTATCTTCATGTAAATTGTAAGTGACGCATTTGATATTTTGGATATTTAGGCTCTAAAACACTGAACATTTTGAGAGATTAAGGTTACGTAGGATCTTAGAGAAATGAAAATTTAGTTATTTATTTTTTTTAATTATATTCATGTAAATTGTAAATGACGCATCTGATGTTTTAGATATTTAGGCTCTAAAAAAACAGAACATTTTGAGAAATGGAGGATATTTAGGATCTTAGAGAACTAAAAATTTAGAGTTATTTATTTTTCTTCATTATTATATTCATGCAAATGACGCATCTGATGTTTTGGATGTTTTGATCCTAAAGGATATTTAGGATCTTAAGGATTCTCCATACCGGCTGCAACAGCAACAAATCGCATGTTGCAATGACTTTACGCATGCGC